TTCTTTCCATGATTTTTTTTTTATACATAGTTTATCAACATTCTTTTGGACAGATCAATACTGCCAACTGCGTCAACTGCGTCAGTGTAATGGGATTTTCTTCTCGTAGTGCCCAAGTGACATACCCCAGGCATAACAAGCGCACGGTGCAGCTTCTCTGGAAGATCTGCCACCTGCTTGTTTCCATGGAAATATTACTTTATCTCAATAGAGAAAAGCAGATGACCCTACCAGAGCTGTGGAAAAATATGTCCATTCACGAGAAGGAAAAAAATCTGTAACTGAATAAATGCAAGAGAAGTTTATTCTCAGACTGTCACAATTTCATGTATGCAGGCAGGTAGAGGACCCTCCACTGGAATTGTTCCATAGAGCACCTTTAGATATGTAAGCAACCAACTCAACTTCCATTTTCATCCTTATTTATTTGCCTAAAATACCAAAGAAAAGGCTGTGCTCGTAATAGCACCGTGAAGTCGTATAATTTTGCACAGGTTTTATAAGTCAGTGATTGCATGCCGAATATTTTGCCCAAAGGCGTGATCTTGGTGAGCTTTAAGAAACTGAAAGTCCAAGGGCAAGACTGAGCTCATTATATTCAACAGGTCACAGTGTCCTTTATAAAAACTATTATAAATACTTTATTAGAGGCAGAACAGCGCTAAAGTCGTGAATAGGTTTTAAAGAACAAAGAAGGCTGTGAACAAAGAGCTGCATTGTATTGATGTGTAAAACAAAATTGATCAAAATCTTCTAGTTCTGGGGCTAGCGTAGGTTCACATTTTTAAATAGTAAAATGCTGTAAAACAATTCTGAAGATTAACAGTAGCTATAGTTACATGTACAATCAAAATTAGATTATTATCAGAATTTTGAAATGATAAAATTATTAAACTGGCATGTAAACAGTAAAATCATCATCTAATTTCTTTTTGATCATCTCTGAATACGCACATCAGATTCTTTGGTTTATATGTTATTTAAATAATCAGGTGTTGGTGTGCATGTAATTTTTCAATTTTTAATTTTTATGGCATTAAACTTCTCCATCTTGCAGTTATTCAATTACTGTATTTTTCAGACTATAAGGCATACCGGATTATAAGGCGCAATATCAATAATAATTGAATTCTCTCATCTAGTTTCATACATAAGGCGCACCAGATTATAACGCTCTACACTATTATGCACTTTTAAAATACTATGCAGGGGTCTCAGACTCGCGGCCCGGGGGCCAACTGCGGCCCGCGGAAGGATTTTTTGCGGCCCTCCACTTGATTCAAAGAATAATGTCAGTGCGGCCCGCGGTAGATGTACACACAATCCCAACCCCCTACCGTGACAGATGAAGCTGCAATCGGTGCCCATGCAGATTCACAACAGATTATTAACGCAGTTTACATCCCAAAACTCAATTTACAGCAGTTGTGAAGCAACGAGTCTAAGTGGATCTGTTAATACAAGTACACGTGCACATACGGCGTCACCGAAGAACCAAAACAAACCACACATGGTGGTACACGTGTGCGCACTTCACTTTACGCTCCCACAACCACAGCATCAGAGCGCAGAGGAGGCGCTGACACAATTCCCCTGTTCATAAGTATGGGACCTTTATTGAGGGGCTAATAAGAAATAAAAAGACACTGACAGTCTGTTTACCTGCTCAACACTCGGTGCGTAACTTGCTGGCAACCCGATGACCAGGCTCCACCTGTGCGTCGCCGAAATCCACGCGCACTCAGCGGCAAACACAGCTGTCCCATCAATATGCAAGCACCACAAAACTGCAGTGATCTATTCCAGAGGCTTGGTGACATGTTAGCAAAAAGTACGAGGCAAAAACAAGCGTCTTCCATCCATGTTTGACATACGAGAAGCAGATACACTCCAGTGTGGCGCTTTCACACCGGCAAACGAACCAAAACTGGTCGATTAACGAGCCTCTGTATCCCGTAGGACAACGATACCTCCAGTAACCAATACTGATGTTCCCTGTTAATACCGCGGGCGTCCTCATCTCAAATTATCACCACGAACTCATAAAACAGCAACGCAGAACTTTCTACAAAACTCACCGCATCAGTTCTGAGTTCGGGTAACAGCAGAAGCCAACAGCGTTCAGCGTAGCGCGCAGCTCCTCAGGACGGCGCTGGAGTCTGGTCCTTGGTCTTCTGTCGTCCTACAAGCGCGTTGGTCAGATGGTCCGGAGGCTCTGTCCTCCATGTGCTGGTTCCAGACGGTGGCGAACAAGACCAGTGCGCAATGACTGGGTCTGAGCGGGTACGTTCCGCCGTCTGCGCGCTGGTTCCCTGTTCCGTGCGGGGAAAGTGAGAATGCGCTGTGGACTACAGGTCTGTGCTGCTCCGGTCCTCGCGCTCAAGAACCGCGGCTGGTTCCGAGGTGGTGCAAAGCATCCGGACAGAACGTGAATCCAGTTTAGTTGGTGTCCGCATTTGGTTCTTCCCGGGAAAAGCGCTTTTCACTCCCGCTCCACGTCATCTGAGCCCGGACAGAACCGGAGCTGCTCCCGCTGGTTCGGGACTCCGGTTTGGATCTAGTCCGACTGTATTTCTCACACTAGGCTAAAAGCAGGACATTTTTAAAGGTGAATCAATTGAATGGGCGATTGCCTATTGCCATAAAATTATTTGATTAATTAAAGCCTAAAAATAAAATGCTGGTTCCTACATGATCACAGGGAACAAAGGGACCTCTGTAGGTCCTGAACAGAAGTACAACACCCCATTTTTGACTCACTCTGGAGCCACACGTTCGCACGTTCTTGCTCTGATCTTCGTGTATTACATTCTCTGTATTGGCCATTGTTGGTAAAATATTTCGAAAATGAATCGCGGCTGCGTCTGGACAATCTGTTACTGCGCTGGAGTCGTACAGCGCGTCATTACAGGCAGGAGACGCGTTTCTCCCATGATGCATCTAGAATAGTTCGTTTGGACCTGCTGTCTGTGGTTTGGACCCGGGTTCGCGTTCACACCAGAAGAACCGCACCAAAGTTGGTCATTTGGTGCGGATTCAAGCGAACCGAGACCACCTCTTTTTTGAGGTTTCGGTCCACTTGAGTTGGTCCGGGTCAGAGTCCGATTGACGCTTTCACACCAACGCAAACGAACCGAGCTAACCACTTCTGGTTCGAATGGACCATTTGGTGCGCACCAAATACTGTCGGTGTGAAAGCACCTAATACAGGTCAAGGCTCACTGATGAGCATCTTCAATCTATCCTGAGGATCTGCTTCCTCCTGCAAGCCAAATATCTCTCAGCTGTACAAGATGAATCGTAGCCAGGTTTCAACCAGCAAGGAGTAGGCAAAAGAAGAGTAGACGGATTAGTTTAAACTTACGTTCTGAATACATTTTCATGTTCTGAACTGTTATTAAGATTAAGAAAGTGTGTTGCGTGTTGTTCTTTCTCTCTCCTCTTTTCCCGTGCAACCGCTATTTATCGAATACTCAATGCGGCCCAGCCTCACTCAGACTTTATCTAATGTGGCCCCCAGGTAATTTGAGTTTGAGACCCCTGTACTATGCAGTTTGTGTGATGCTCTAAGGTCATTTTGTTGTTATTTTATATGACAATGACAATAAAGAAACTGAACTGAATTGAATTGAATTGAAGGCGCATTAAGCGAAACAAATGGACGACACTTGAGACTGATACCTTAGTCCAGACATCCATGATCCATTGGCAGATCGTGGAGTAATTTGCCCGGCGTTGTCTCTCTGGCTCGGTGAATGTGTATTATGAATGTGAATGTGGGTGGATAATTTAAGTTTGTTTTTTTTATTTCCTACAATGAGGACTCAGATATGTGTTTATTGCCACTTTGAGCATTTGTTTATGTTTTACAGAAAATAACTTAAAACCACATGGCTAATTTGCATAAACTATAAGCACTGAAAAAACAGCTTGCTCCTTGTGCACTGATCAGTGCGTGGTCAGTTTCTGTCAGACTAAGGACCATAAATTGGGCTTTAATCCGCGAGGCTCCTGACTACGGTAGCCTTAATGCTCCGGCAATCCATCAAGCGATGCGGCTTGGTAGTTTACCAAAGTTGCACTAAAACATTTTGAGAGACTTTTGAGCGCCGTGTACCACATAAAATTGATTCGAGGTCAGTAAGCACAATTAGATTTAATACACAAGGTGCACCGGATTATAAGGTGCACTGTCGGTTTTTGAGAAAATTTAAGGATTTTTAGTGCACCTTGTACTTTGAAAAATACGGTATAAGTGTTTTAATTGATAAATTAAATACCTACAAAACTAGAAAAGCACTCAGAGAGCGCAGACCTCCGCCAAGGACTACCCCCATTTTTTATATAAATTGCGATAAAATCAGTCTTCTGGATCAGATCCGGATCAGCCTTTGGAATATGAAAGAGGATCCCATTGTCCATCCCTGAGTCAAATTTCATGGGGTTTGGTCAATAATTAACCGAGATATTGAGAAATCAAATTTTTTGGCCCCATTTACCACAATGTTAACTAAAATTTCAAAGTGATCCAGAATCCAGGATTTCTTCCGGATCACCCCCAAAATGAAATCAGTTCTTCCTTTTCACATTTCCAACAAATCCTGAAAATTTCATCAAAATCGGTCCATAACTTTTTGAGTTATGTTGCTAACAGACAAACAAACAAACAGACAAACGCCGGCAAAAACATAACCTCCTAGGCGGAGGTAATAAATGTCTAGAAAAGCATTGCCTTAATTGAGAAGCAGGGTCACTTCTCCGGAGATCTGACGGGTAACTTGGCCTATATTGCTGCCACCTGCTTGTCTCCATGGAGTTGATGCCACACTTTGGAACATTCTCCACTGAGATAAGTGTAGGGGAGTGCTCCTTGAAAATGCCAGTCTAAAAATAGTATTTCGCTCATAACAAAGCACTGTTGATTGACAGCATATTTACACTTTACTTAAAATTTGCATAAAACTTATATTGAAGGAAGTTGTTAGCGGTATTGTTCTTACGTGGCTCGGTGAAGTTCAGGAGGGAGCAGGAGTAGGGGTCTGCTCTGTCCTCTTCTGGGATGGGGCAGCCTTGTTTGCCCACAATAAACTTCACCCCCACCCTGAAAGAAAAACATTAAAAACATAAATAGCACGAACCAAGAACACACTCGGAGGACTTTGTTGAATCGGTCTTTTGTGCGGCGATATTGGACTCTAGAGATAGGCATTTCTAAAGCTTGTCCATCTCGACACCTCCGTTACCATGGCGACGCGGGTTGCTTAAAGGCCATCACACCTTATCAGAGCACACATCTGTGAAGGAGCCGTGGAAATGGACAAAAGAAGAAACAGCTAAGAACAATATCACAATATCGGCTGTCCAGGATGATAAAGCAGTCCACACGGATCCTGAGTAAGGAGCTGGGAGCGTTTTAGGTACAGGCAAAAGTGCAGGATAGTACAGAGAACAGTGAGTTTATCATGAACTCGAGACAATCTACATTATGCAAGTGATAAAAATACAAAACTATTAGGACTTGGCTCGTGCAGTTAATTTATTTTAATAGAATCGAGATCTAGTCATTTCAAACTGTCACTGTTAAGCTTGGGTATTTTGAAAGGTAAAAAAAAAAAAAAAAAAAAAAAAAAAAAAAAAGAAAGAAAAAACCCTAACATTGTTGATTTCTAGATGTATGCATGGTTTGGGTCCTTGTTTTAGTTTAGTTTTGGACATGTTAGTTTTTGATAGATGTTCACATATAGTAGTCTGAGATTTATTTATTTATTTATTTAAAGTTTAGTCTAAAATAATCCTGGTTTAGCTCCATCTTAGTCAAGATTTAGTCTCCCACATTCAGTCCAGAGTAAGACCTGGTTTAGGAGAACTTTCAGTAAAGTTTTGCATGTCTTCATATATTTTCAACAGAGTTACTCTACATCACTTGTTTTTCTTGTACAAAACTGCATCAGCCATCATCTTTTAGCTTCGAGCTGAATAAGACAAGCCTTTCCCCTCCATCTGTGAGTGTGTGACCCTTAAAAATGAACAGGATGGTCCATAACAGGAGGTGAGGAGGGACAGAGTGGGCACACTGTGCAGGTGACACTGAAGGAGGCCCAGGTAGTCTTAAACTAGTCACGATTTATTCTGAATTTGTCACATTTTTCATTCCTGGTTTAGTCCTGGTTTGTATTGCTCATGCTTATTTCTTATTCATAAACAGAGCTTCACATGGATTTACTTTCAGCAGATATCACTTAGGCTACGTTCACACTGCAGGGCTTAATGCTCAATTCCGATTTTTTTGTAAAATCCGATGTTTTTGCAAGGTCGTTCACATTTCCAATTAAATGCGACTTGTCTGTGACTTCATTGTGAACGGTAAACGGCCCGAAAGTGTCCCGCATGCGCACTGGAGGACACGATGTCAATCCCATGCATCAACCGCAGCGAGCGTGCTCTGTGTTTACGGAAGTTGTCCAAATATGGTCGCGAGCATTGAGCACCTGGCGATTTTACAGTTCCGGTTTCCGCCTGCTTCAATGCAGAATAGTGACGTTTGTCGCTTGTTAATGACGTGTAGGTCGGATGGATGCGCTTTGGCCGTTCAGTCTGAAGTCGCATGTCAAAAGATCGGATATGTATCGGATTCAAGACCACATATCCAAGTGGCCTGGGTCGCATTTGAACAATTCGGATCTGTGCCGTTCAGACTGTCATTAAAAGATCGGATACAGGTCACATAGAAGCCAAAAAATCGGATTTGGGTCACTTCAGGCTGCAGTCTGAACGCAGCCTTACTTGACTTACTTACGCACTATGTAACTTTCCTGGTTGATGGTTCACAACCCGCTCGTCTCCATGGAGAAATAAGGTATAAAACTTCTGTAGCTTTTATTTATTCATCAGTTTTTTATGGCTAAATAAAAAAGGAAAATGTGTATTCCTACTCTGAGCAGGACTGCCAGTTGACCACTATGGTGAAGTTAAATGTTTAATGCCATACTGCGGAATATTCAGGGCAAAGCAATATCATCTCTGTAGAAATAAGCAGGTGGCAGATACATTTCTAGAAAAGGTAGCAAGATTACTCGCCAAGCTGGCAACATCTAGTGCCTCTACTCAATTTCATTTCTCTCCAGGGACTAGGTCAGGAATCGGAATACACTAGGTGGTTCGCAAAAACCCCGTTCGAGTCCAGGCACCAGCCAATCAGCAAGAGCCATATATTCTGTGTTGGCAATGTTTCCCGAGATTGAGGATTTAAAACCGGAAAAAAGAGAATGTTTGTTGAATTTTATCAAGGGGAAAGACATTATTGCCCTTCTTCCTACGGGATTTGAGAAAAGCTTAATATACCAGTTAGCCCCGTTAGCAGTGCATTACATATGTCACGACCAAATAGCAGCGATTGATTAAATGAAAAAGGTACCTGCCTACTGTCTAAAGCTGCAAGGTCAGATGGTTTCCACATCTGTGAAACAGTCTGATGAATCAGGCTACAAGATTACTACTTGATTTCAGTTTGCAAGTACCGAGAATATTTATGAATTAAGTTGACCATCTGCAAAAGGATACACATTAATTATGATTTCAATGCCAAGTAGTCATCGTCATATTAATTACAATATCGACTTATCATTCAGTATATAAAAAGTGGAATAATGTATTTTGGGGCTCAGTATTTATTGCATGTATATTTTCTTTGTAAAAGTGGGGAGATTTGGGGATTTATTGTTGTATTACAATAAGATTAGAGCTGTAGAGGGTTGTATAAGTCTATGGCTAATTACTGCTTCATTGCATTATTTATTTGTTGTTTTTTATTTGCTCAGACCTTTTAATGATACTGCAATAAAAATGGTTTAAAGGGATTATCTTGCTTTTAAGTTATTGTGCCAGTAAAAAATAGTTTCAGTATTATCATTTATCATTATATATCTCTCTAGTAATATATTATGCTTCAAAATGTGTTATTGTGAAAGGCCTATCGTCAAGTTATATCCAAGTACCCCGCATGCTCTTTACAGGACAGGAGGGACAGATGAGATAAAGAGGTACAAAGAGGAGGTGAGGGACGACAAAGACGAGGATGTCTGTGTAATCCCTCAGTTGCCCAGGTAGGATCCATAGCAAAAGAAAAATTCAATTCTATCGTTTGTCCAGTTGACAAAATTGATTTTTTTCTTTTGCTATGACAGAGAGGAGGGACATTGGGGGGCCCACCTGTGCTGGAAGTGGGGGTGACTCTGCAGGTAGCCCAGCCATGTGTCTCTTATGGCCTGACGCAGCTCGTGATGGTGCCGAGCCGAGAGCACTCCCACCAAAACATCGTAGAACGGCAAAGCTTCGTCTGGAACACAATCAAATATTCATCCGTGAGTTAAGTACTGCTGCTTTTGAAATGGAAAATGCAGACAGTTACCTCATGTGGCAGAGAAACTGTGCCCTACACCAGTCAAAACAATAAAGGTTAGGATTTCAACACTCCAAATTTAACCTTCTTTCTAAGGGGTTTGGGCAAAAGCATCAAGACAGTTTTTAAGGAAAGTCTAAGAAGAAAAAAAGGAGGATTAAGTTACCAGAATATATATACAATTGCAGAAGCTGGAAAGGAGAAATCAAATATAGAAGCACTCAAGACAGATAGTGTAGAGAGACATTTGAAAAGACAACAGATACAGGCTCAAGATGAATGCTTTTCTAGGGATAAATGCCATCGCTCCACTCAGCCAAAAAAAAATGAACCATTTTTATAAGAAAAACGACTACATTATTTCTTCTTATGTTGACTTGAGTGGCATTAATACCATATCTTGAAACAGTGAGCTGAGTCAATCAAATTTTAAAGTTCTGTACCTGTTCCATTTCTGACATTTTCAGCATAAAATTATGCATTTACTTTTTATTTAAAGGAGCGATATGCAACTTTTCTGGTGGAGGGTCATTCATCTGTTTGTCTCCATGGAGATGTTATGGAAAATAGAAATACCTTAAGCATGTTTTCTTACTGTGAGTGGGCTTGCTTCTCCGCCGATCTTATCTATTACTTGGTCTAGTCGCTTCACCTGTTTGTCTCCAGGGAGATAGAGATGTATAATGTTGTACAACGGAACAATCCGGACCAAAAAAAAGCCTCTCCATGAAGAATACCCCCTTGTACCACCAGTAAAGTTACACAGAGCACTGTTAAGCATTACTCTGTGAAATTTGAGTTTCAGTAGCTTGGGGACTGGATACTGCAGACCCAAAAGAGGTACAGTTTTGGAGTTTGTCTTTTTTCCAAAATCATTCAGAACTTGGGCTATAACATTTCATCGACTAATTGTCAACTATTAAAAAAAGATTGTAGTCAAATTTTGATACTGATCTTAATTTTAATCATAATCTGAACTATACAGACTCTAAAATTAATATGAAACAACCATTTTATAACAAAGAGAGTGCCATTATTTAAAAAAAACAAAACAATTTCTGTTTTTTATTTCTTCGTAACTATTCTGTATGTAGAAGCTATTGGTCACCATATTTCAACCTTTATTTGGTTCATAATCTATTTTAAAATCTTAAATTGCCTATGACAGGTTGGACTACTCTCTTCACTGAAACACACTTAAGATTTAGCTAAAAACTGTATAATTCTTTTCCCACTTTGGCCATTTTCCAGGTTAAAAATTTGACTTCTTGCTTGGAAATCATGCACCTACAGCAACCACGCCTCTAATGTACACAAATATTATTCTTTAACAAACAAAAATGGAAGAATACATGTTTATTTGTTGAAATAATTCTTTAAGTTTCAGAAAAATGTGATTCTTGCATGTAAATTGTGCAAAACCTTTGGACAAATTCCCTCTGGTGTTATGTCATCAATATGGAACTCTCTGAAACAGAACTCATCACTTTCTGTAATTTTCAACATATTTTTCAACTTTTCTTCACAAATTGCTTCTTGATTTGTATAAAACTATCATTAATATTCACAGCAGATATCATCCCACCAAACTAAGTCAGAATCAGAGAATCATCAAAACCTGTCACACGTAATTTAAAGTAAAATAGAAATAATTGTTTGACTAGTCTAAAATAATCATTAGTTGCAGCCAAAACCACACCCATTTTTCCATTTTTTTTCTATCTATATTGGGGAAAAAAAATTATGACTTCGGTGGCTAAGATACTGTATCACGCCCTTTACCAAACAGGAGCTAATGGATCTTATTCACTTACTGCATTTAGTCACTGTTACGCCTGCTTGATGAATGTAGCTCGAAAAGGGGAAAACCTGACAAGAAGCCCCCTCATAATAACACAAGGAGAAAAATGATAACCACTCTGCCACAATGCACCTTAACCAGAGAGCATCTATAAGCAGATTAATACTGTATAATTAACAGTAGATCAGCTGAAAAAATGAATATTCATCATTACCTATTAAAAACATTTGACATCTGCCTTCATATAAACTCTTTGTGTAGAGGTTTACTTCTACTGCAACAACACAATGAAGGTTTTATGAGCAAAAGCAACAACTGCCACTATACGCAGTCAGCCATTTTACAATCTGAAGAGTCATGTAACACAAGAGACAGATTTTCCTTGAGGAGGTCCACTTCGAATATAAAAAATAAGCTAAAAAAGATCAATACTGGCTGCACTATTGTCACAAAATAATAGTACAAATAATGATTGTTTTGAAAGTCTTGCCAATGCTGCATGAAAAACCTTGGCATTTAGGTTGAGATATAGTCAAAATACATGATTTGGCAATTAAAAACATATAAATCGAAGCTTCATCGGTCGGAAAATCGATCGCAGATTACATCATTGCAAATGGCACAAGGCTTTTTACTCAACCTTTGAATCAACAGGTCTACAGACAGTTCTTTGATATTTAAAACTGAACATTAAATAAAACTGATTAGTTTTGTGTTTAATGGTGCTGAAGTGGAGTTCATTCAGCTGAGGTTTATATAAAAAGCCATAATCCTATAATTAAAGGCCAAATTTCAATGAAAAAAAAAAATCATTATAAATTGTGATGGATCAATAAGTGTTTTTACCATGATCTGACTGCATGTTTGTACTGTATGTGTAATAGATACTGCTATGCAACAGTTGACACTAAGAGAAAGTATCTTATATTCACTGCCATCAATTATTTATGCAGTACGTACAATCAATACAATAGAAATATCTAGCTCCTCTTAAGGCAACAGGCTGCGCCCTTGGATAATAAGATAATATTTAAGTGGTCTATGTGGAAAATAGAGAAGCAACGCAATCATTTCTAACACTACCATTAGCATTTAAAACCTCATCCATAGCTTAAGCACTTTGTCCTTCAATTCAGAAAATCCCACCCCAATGTTTCCAAGGCAATTAAAAATACCAGACAATGAGCAAAAACTCCATTACTAAACGTGCAGAGTGCCAAAATGTGGAAAAAATAAAACAATTAATAAAAAATGACGGGAAACAAGCTACATAATTGATCACAAGGCATATCTTCTAGGATCAAAAACTAAAAAATACACACGTATGCAAGAATTTCAAATTAATAGTAAGCTACAGCGAGGTTTCAGAAGTGTTGAGCAGTATGCAGCCCGTGGAGATGCACATTAAAAAAGCTTAACTTGGCTGAATCCCACCAACGCCCAGCACTCTTGAACTGTCACATTTTATTATTAGCTTGAAAAAATAAAGCACCACACGCACCTACGATCCTAAATGGATAATAAAAGATAGCTTTCGAGTCAACTACCTGTTTCCAGTCCAACTATCAACACCAAACAGTCTACCCAAATGCGTACGCGTAAAGTTAGCCAAATCCATGCTGGCAAAACAAAGTTATCTTGGAGGAAAAAGCCCCCGGGAAGAAGCAAAAAAGTACCCGAGGATGTGTTGCTGTCCAGCGGATCTGCGGAGCGTCGTTGGACCAACCACAAGTGCACCAGGAGGGCGATGGCACAAGGCAGCAGAGCGAGCGCTAGCCTCCGCATGGACAGCCTCTTCAGTCGGCGGGAGCAGCCTGGAGGAGCCGGTGGAGCCTCGTCTCTGTGCCCGGCTGTGAGTGCCTGTCTGCGGTCTGAGCTCCTCCGTGTGAGCGCCTCATTTCAGCAGCTCTCCTCCGGACCCTCAGCACTGCCTCATGTCTGCCTCCGCCGCGAGAGAGAGACGGACCAATGGGAGAACAGGAAATCCTGCCGCGGTGCCGTCTGGGAAATGGAGTTCTGGCCGCTCTAGCCAGTTACTGTCATGAAGAAAGTTTTATACAGAATATTTAATGAACAGTGCAATCAATATTAATTTAATCACTCTTAATGTAATCAATATTTATGTACCTATTCCTTTATTCTGCTGTACTTCTGAATTTTACAAGCTGACAATAAGATGAAATGGTTATATTATGGATAAAATAGCAAACTGCTATCAGAATATAAATTTGGCTGCTGTGGGGTTAAAAGCACTACAATCTGGAGTAAGCTAAAGGCTACTTCATTAACACCCATTTGCTGAAGGAAAGGAGTGCATCCACCATCTATTTGTATTTTATGTACCTATAACTGCAGTTGTGTGTCCCTAAGGCATTTCTGTATAACCTGGCTCGTTCTTGCTGCTGTTGAGGCAAAGGGAATGACCTTAATGTATAGCAGCAAATCAAATGAATAGTCCGTCTTACCTTTACAAAGACACTGCTATCCTGAGGACATGAAGTCTCTTTTTTGTGCCACTGTTAAACTTCTGGTTTTAAAGTGAATTGCTTCTGTTGGACAATACTGCATTGGTCTTATAAGGGCTTTTCCCCACTGCAAAGGTGCTTAAAAAGTGTGTGCATTTATTTATTCCACACTTGGTGGGGTTAAGTTATTGCAGTCACAGCTGCCCTGGGGTAGAACGATGGATGCAAGGCTGGCAATGTGTGACATTGATATTTCACAATAGCAAATTTTGATGTGTGATATACTGATATAGAGAGTATGATCAATTATAATATCAAAACTACTTTCTACTGACACATTAACCTTAAAGCAGGACACTCCCAATGAACACTTAAAAAAAACATGAGTTAGAAAGAATAAGTAGCACAGATAGTTGTATCAATAACATGTCATAGAAGTTACTCATTTCTATCTACAAAAAGTCCTCAACAAGTGCAAAGAAAATGCAACTATATATTACAACTCCTCCAAAATGTAGAGTTTTTCTAACACACCAGATTTGAGAAATGTCTTGAAATGTCTTGTCCATGGATGCAACCACAGCTTTCACCAGAGCCACTGCTCCCTGACTTTACCTCTGGCATTCCCAGGGTCTCTCACCCAAGTACAAACCAGGCCAAACCCTGCTTAATTCTGAAAAAGACTGCTGGTCATAAATGCAGAGTTAGCTTTCATGTGTTGCAAAAACACTAGATGTCCAGATGGTTTACCTTAAATTCCACACTTCTGCCCATAAACAAGACCATAAATGATCAGATGGTAAAATACTTTAAATTTAGCCTATATTTTTACTGCCCTCCAAAGTTCAGGTATTAAACTAAATTGCTTTTTATAGCCATAAAGTTATATTTTTATGAGATTTGGGCAACTTTTGCTCACATAGAGTTTACTATAAGATGCACACATTTGCTAAGCACTGCTGTGGCCTGTATATTTTTCATTTTATTGCCACATTAAAATAACGCTAGTCTGCAGTTTTGGACCAAAGAGCATTAAATGTGTAAACAGAATACGTGAGTGAGCGGAATACATAGTTTATCACATGTCCTAGAAGTAAATGAAAACATTAAAATACACATAAGAGCTCTGCATGCATTTTAAATGAAGTGGGAGAAAACATGTTCAAAGAAGTCTTTAGTTTGTTCTTTTGTGAACAGAAGCATACAGTATCTATGCTATTACTGTTGCAACTATTACATTGGACTATATTTTTAATTTGTGTTGCTTTTAGCCTATAAAAGTATGGTCTTACTCCCAAAAATGGCTTATAGAGCAGACATGTTAAAATACATACAAAGTTACATGACATAGTATCACATAATTCCACCTATTTTTATATAAAAGACAGTCTGACTATTATTATTTAGCATGAAACCATTTCTGTCCCCCGATAGGTTACAAATTCATCTTGAGGTTTAGACAAAGTAATGACTTATGCAGAACTGTTCAGACCCAAACAAGTGCTTTTATAGACAGATGCCAGAGAGACCTATTACACAGACAGAATATGCAGATATGTTCTCCCCCTCTCTCCCTCGCCCTCCTCTTCTCCATCTATCTCTTTTTCTCCTTATCTTATTGTTTGTCCCTCTCATATTTAGTCTTGATTTGTGTACACTTTTACCTCTTTACCCAGGGCACAATACATCTTTGTTATCTTGATCATTACATAATTGTTTTGCAGAGCCCTCATTACGCAGATTTCCATCACTGGCAGATTGTTTATTTGAAAGGGGAAGTCTGTTTGGAGCACACACTCTGGCTTCTGCATTTCCAACACTTTTCCCCCCAAATATTATTTTTATTTTTGTGTGTTTCATTGCACTGCGTTGCATGTCCTCTGGCTCCTTTGCTGGCTGAGGTTCAAACAGTCAATGTATGACTTCATAAATATACTGTACACATCATAATGTTGTTCTGGTAGTATCTGGTAGTAGTTTCAGTATTTCAAGACATATGTTAGGATTAAATTCAAAAAATAAAAATGTATTCCCATATTTAAGTTAATCCGAAAATGACATACATTTAAAAATATTATTATAACTATTCAGTAAAAACATAAACAAATAATAGCAATCTATATCGGCAAAAAGAAGTATACCATAGATAATAAAGCAGTGAATGAGCCATTAATGACAAGTAGCTCCTCAGTGCAAATGCCAAGTAGACGTTTTCTCACTTTAATGGCTGGTCTTCATAATTTGAGTCTAGCTCCTTCACATCTTTTTGCTGACATTCCTGCTGACACTATTGGAGATAATGAGAGATCATATTTTTTCCAACGGCTGTTTTTACCACTCATTAATTCCCTTTTGGTTATTTGGATGGGATCATAAGAAACAGAATCAATTCTCTAATTCATTCACTAGGGGCAACGTAGAGTCATCATCAGTTCTTTCACGTGCGCACTGAGAGACGGTTCACTGTAACATAATATGCAAACTACACAAAGAGATGGGGAGTTAGCACAAAATAACACCAGGACGGGATCTGTTATCTCTATAATGCAAGATATATGTTTTTTATATTGTTGTCTTGCTTCTCTTATGTGGCTGCTCATGTAATAACAATAGCTTTTTGATAATAACAGTATTATTTAGGCCATAATCACACTTTGCATTTTAGAATCTATGTCAGGAGTTATAGGTGGCAGCCTCAAAGCCTTAAGTGAGCCTAAATCAGGGCTATAAATCAGGTCTAAACAAATAAGAAGAGAGGTAGTGCGCTTCGCTGGGTCATTGGCATCCACTTATGCAATAAAGGACTTTTAATATAATCAATCACTGTGTCCCAGGTTTGTACCTTGCCCATTTTCTATTACTAAGAAGGGCCACATTTTGCTAAGAACTAAACCAATGTTGTAGAAAACACAAGACTAAAGTGTTCTGAAACTGTGATTAACCCAGGTCTAGGGAGAAAACAAAAATTTTCCATCTAAAACAAGGGTGTGCCAGCAGTTTTTCCCTTCATAAACAGTTTACGTGTATGCTGTTTGATGTCTGTTTATTTCAGGCATGTCCAACCCAACTGTGACCCTTGGATTCATTTTTGTAGGTTTACAAAATTGGCCTAAATGATCATGAAAGTACTTTTTACTGCGAGTTCAGAAACCTCTACTGTCTAAATCTCAGTAGGCAGAAAGTATTTCTTGGTTTCAGTCCTTAAAAGGAGAGATGGATTGGTCAAATTTCATCCTTGAATGATTCACCGCATTAATTCACTAATCTGTTGCCCTGTGCTTTATGTAGCCTCAGTGAAAAACGAACATCTTTAGTCTATCTATCTCCTATTCACTTATTCAATCACGGTCCATGGTCCATATTTATTCAGAGTCATTGTGACAGAAACACATTATAAACAGCATTGGTGAGCTGTCAGACTCGACTAAGCTCTGATTCAGGTTTACTCCCAGGTGATGCTGTCAGCGCACGCTCCACTGGTCCCACCACATAACACTCTATTTCCATGTTAATATCAAAGCATGAATTATGATCGCCGACTATCAAAACAACCCCCACTTATTCTTCGCTCGTACATGTTTTCTGTTTGTCTACGAATGTTATGCTTATGTTTATGTTAATGCTTATCCCTGGTTTAACTTGCACATCTGCAGTGCACAGATGTGGAGTTCAGCCACAGGAGGTCCCCAGCTCACACCACTGCTGAAGACCGGCCTACAGCATACTCAATACTATTACCAATCTAATAACAGAACTATTTAGCTGTGTAAACTTATGCAGTCACTCTAATTTGGTAATATTATATGGTTAAATAAATTAAATGTATAATTTTATAGGCACACTTGAACAACCCAGTGAATGAGAAGTTTATTGGAGTTATGTTTAATGTCAAGGTCATTTAAATTAACTGTGATGGGGAAATTAATTAATCAACAAGTGCCTCAAAAACATGTTTATGCCTTTGCTATAGGATTGGAATAACCAACCTCGAAAATATGACGTGAACTGAATGCCAGTGTTCTCAATAAACAAAGTACATAAAAATAAGCAACTTTATAACTTTATGATGCAGAGGTATTTCTATTCTTGTTAATTCAGGCTGTAGTCACATATAAATTGTTTAACTTTTTCTAATATAGCTTGTGTTTAGGATTGTACGGGCATCATTTGTCACATAATATAATATATAATGTTTGTTTGTGCAATTATGGTATATTATTCAGTGCTTCATTTGCTCCAAATATACACATATTCATATCCCCCTGGAACCCGAAGAAAAAAGTGCATTGCAATATATATGTATTTGGTGTTTTTCCTCTCTATTTGGAGGTAAATGAACACCTTAACATTTAGATTTTGTTCATTTTATTTATTTATTTATTTTTATTACATAACGTCCTCAGTAATGGATGCTGGGGACATTTTGGTGTTAAATCCACGTGAAGTTAATAACCTAACAAAAACAACTTTTTTGATGACCTACATCTCTGACAAGCTTCTACAGTCACCTCGAAATGTTTTTAGACTCCCTTTTAATTTCTTTATTTTTTATTTATTATTTTTTTTATCATAGTGCAGCCACAAACTAACTCCTTTTGAGTTCATTTTTTATCCTGGACATGATAGTACTCTATAATCCCCCAGCCCTATTTAGGCAGAGGAACCTAGTCCCCTCATTAAGAATCTAACTCTAAACACTTAAAAGAAAGACTGGTTAACTCAATGTTCACTCTAAAGGACACAAATGAATGGGCTGGGGCTCAGGAGGATATAGCATATTTAAGGTGCACTGCGTAACTTTTCGGGCTGGAGCCACTTCACCATTTGATGGAGAAGTTGCTGCTTTTCCTAGAGTGTCCCCCAGTATGTCAGTAAACTTATTTATCCCCATGGAGACAAATAGATGGCACCATCAAGCCAAGTTACAGCTAGGATCTGTGGCAGGGTGAGCCCACTTAAAAGTAAGAATACATGGTTATCAACAACAGTTTTACAACAAAAAAGTCAATGCAGACAGAAGTGGGTTGCTGTTTCCTTTAATTCAGTTGATCCTTTGGAGGATTTACAAAGCCTGCGATATTTAAATGCTGTTTTACCCTCAAAACAATAGTAACATCTTCCATTACACACTGCCCTGGGACTCCGAGGAGGATATGTCCAGCGTAGCACCCAGAAGTCGATATCACACCATAGTCTCTGTTATAGATAGAAATAAATCCATGCAATATTCATCTGTAGGCATTAGGTTTCTCATTTGGCACCATCGTCGTGTGGAGGTCAGAGCTCTGTTTCAGGAAATACAGACGAGGGAGGCTGCGTTCACACTGGAGACAGCAGGGGCCCAATACAATCACACTCTCAATTGTGTTAACTGTGGAAATTATGTTAATGTTTTCGATCTTGAGATGTAATTGTTCTGCCTGGAAAGTTACACAGTCTGGCATTAATTATCTGTCACCATGGAGATGACAGCAGGTCAGATCTGGGGAGAGGCGGTGCCACTCATGGTTAGAATCCTATAATGACATGACCTAATAATGACTAATGCCATACTGAAGGACATTCCGGGCAAAGCAAGAGCATCTCCATGAAGACAAGTTACATAGTGTAGCTTTAAGCACAAGAAGCCTATCATAATATTTTGTAAGAGTAATATTTATGTCACAGACGGGACTTCTTTAGACCTTGTGTTTCACCTTATTTCTGCACTTCTCCTGATTCGAAACGCCATTGACTCATTTGGGATTAAGATGAATATGTCTCGCTTTTACACAGACGAGCTGGAGGACACATCCACTTCCAATCTTTGGTAACACTTTATTTTAGGATACACTTATGAACATCTAACTACCTACTAATTAGCATAGTTGTAGATGGTTCATTTGTCATTTATTAGGATTCATTCAGCCCTTATTAATGTCTAATTCCCCATAAGCTTATTCTGCTTTTAGTTAGACACTTTCCTATTAATACACTCCTTAAAACTGCTTATTTGTCCATGAATTATGATTCTAATAAACTTTTGGTAATAAGTGTGTTGTTAAGGACTAGCTGCACAAGAAATGGATGGCAGCAGCTCAGTTGGTAGAGCGTTCGTCCTTCGAATTCCGCTCTCATGGATCTCAGTGGTTGGCTGGTGTGATTCCAGGTCCTACTGATGAATGCTGTCGTTGTGTCCTTGGGCAAGACACTTAACCCACCTCGCCCCCAGTGTCTGCGTACACTGGTGTATGAATGAATAAATGTGTGTGAATGGGTGAGTGGTTACTTGTTGTAAAGCGCTTTGAGTGTACTGAAGGTAGAAAAGTGCTGTATAAAAATTTGACCAAATTTATTAAGTGCAAGTAAGTAAAAACAAACAACACCCTTATTACCAAAAGGTTATTAGAATCATAATTCATGGACAAAAATGGCTTAGTATCATAGTAATAAGCAGTAATAAGGAGTGTATTAATAATAAAGTGTTTGTAAATGTCTATCTAATAGCATAAAGTTATGGGGAATTAGACATTAATAAGTGCTGAATAATTACGAATTAATGACTAATTAGCCATCTACAGCATCAACACGAGTGTACCCTAAAATAAAGTGTTACCGAATCTTTTATATCACTGCTATGATTACATTGATAAAGCAAAATGAATTAGGCCTATATGTGCAGCTAAATAATTGTATTGCATAAATGTATGACATGATCTTTTGATTTGTGTAAATATGAATTGTTGCGTCCGATTTTCTGATCTGTTTGTGTTTTATTAAATTTTCTTTAAAGTAGTCATAGGGGATTACAGATGGATCATCGAATAAATTACAAATAAATGTTGTTTCTATAGCCCGTTGTAGTGTAATAATATGGGTAATAATTCAGTGTTTATTACAGAACAGGAGTCTCAGTGCAAGCCAGGACACACCAATCCAAACAATAACTATATTAATGTTTACAATAGCTTACATATATCATTATTAGCCTCGTTCATGTTCTGCTTTGAAGATTAAATCTGAGCCCCTTGCAGTCAGTCTGAACACAGCCATAGAGTATCATATTTCTAATGTATAATGGCTATTCAAGTCCCAAGAGAAGATTTCCCTTAATTTACACGTATCACTCATAACGCCCAGAGATCTCATACCACGTTACACAAACCGACCCTACCACTGTTTTTAAAAAATATCAGATAGTATCAATAATTGCATGTATTTATAAATGTTTCATCCTAAATATCATACAAGCTCGTAGCACAACACGTCATGTAGCTGTCAGTGCTGTGCAACAAAGAGTCAATATTACTACTTAGAATAACAATAATGATAAGAACGATCATAACAATTCATTGTAAAAATTAGCAAATGCTATAATAATAATAATAATCATAATAATATCTAACATTTAAAGGAAAGGGGGATCTGACAGTGTGCTTTTTCTTCCAAAATTCAACAAAAAAGAGAAATTATAGAAGTCTGTTAGCAGTATAATAGACACCGCTGTATCAGACATTGGCACTGTAACATACTGTACATAGACAAAAACAGCAGTCCCATTAAAACGCATGGGGCGGCCGGAGGAGGAGGAGCAGAAACATGCAGGCCTGTGGTTTGGCATTAAAGTCAAAGGCCATGCCATTCACTCGTAGGACAGGCAAGAGCGCTCAGGAGACATGCCCGCGGACAGGACCAGGACCAAAGGCTGTTTGGGTTCATTTTATGTCCGATTTTAAGAGACTGACTAAAATTTATAAACAGGGGGAGTGGATTCAGAAAGATTTGATTTAAAGGTGCACTGTGTAACTTTTTATTGACTCGTTTATTTGTATTGGGATTTTAATGTGTCTTTCAAAAAGCACTTTCAATGACTTAACTTTTCTGGAGCGGGTTACGCCACCTGCTTGTCTCCATGGAGATGTCCTTGCTTTGCCAAAAATGTTCCACAGTACAGCATTAAACGTATCTATCTCAGACAAGCAGGCTGCACCACCAGATCTGTTGAGAGGTGACCCCAGGATCTTTAAAGCCATAATAATTACATCTCCCTGAAGACAAGCAGGTGGCGGACTCTACACCAGAAAAGTTACGCTGTGCACCTTTAAGTGATAAAATATTATGTCATTTTAGTATTTTTATTAATAGTACAGTCCATGTTTATTGCTAATTGTCAGCATATTTTTCATTGTGGACACTGTTTGAAGGCTTTGGGGACATTTATGAGACCAAATAGGTAAAAGTCAAATTGAAAAGAAATTTAGCAAAAGTAGTTAACTCATAATTATCTTGGCCTAGCTATCTGCAATCTCCCCCCTGCTAATGTTACAACGAACATTTTCTGATATGACTTTATCCTTTGAGTAAAGACGCATATGGGACTGAAGATTAGTTGATACATTTGAATCAAAATGTTCACAAAATGATACGTTAAAGATGTATAATAATTTACATTTATCTCAAGAACAGAACAGAAGTAAGAAATGGTCAAAGTAAGATTAAAAATGCGGATACACTAAGAAAATCTCATTGGTTTTAGTCAAAGTTTGATATGGCTAACCTTATAGACAATAGGAGGAAGATAATATTTTGTATTCATATAATTTGGATGTTTTTTGAACAGTAACTTTGACCTTCCTCATCAGGATTTCTGAAACAATGTACGATTACATTCTGACATTGATTTGAGTGAATCTGACTGCTTGTCTAACTTCATTGAGAAGGTTAATTGTCAATAACTTTGGAGGTTAATTTTTAAAAACACCAATTATGAAGTGTCATGTTAGGATTACGTGGCTTGAATGTAGACTGGCAATAATAACAGATCTTTATGTTTTAATCAAGGGGAGAATTATATGCAGATAAATGACAAAAATAATCCAATATTTAAAGACATTTGGGCAGATTTGTGAGTCCTGAGCCGAAATCTAGCACAAGAAAAAGGTAAACAAAAACATCTTCTCATTAAGCACTGAGCAAGGCTTCTCTAATACAAAGCATTAACAAACCTATTTAACAAGACATGGTACGCTCATACGGGTTGCCAGGTTGGGTAGCCGAACTCCCTCCAAAAACCCCCATCAGCCACCTGGACAGAGCCGCGTAATAACACACAGTCCGCCTGGTTCAACCCATCTCAACGGCGAAAAGGCCAGTGGCTTCAGGTGTGGTGAAGACAGAGGAGCACCGCGGACCCCCAGACAGAGACGAGGGTCCGATCAGAGGATGCTGCAGAAAAACTTCTTCTCCCTAAACGGGTTCTCGGAGGCGGGCACGGGGACAATCAGGGGGTCCTCGCGTATGTGGGCGTCACAGTAGGCCATCAGGTCGGCCGCTGCTTTGGACACCTGTGAGGGGCACAGAGGGAGAAAGGGTGAGTGAGTGTATGAGTGTGTGTGGTTGAAAAAGAGTCCATGGGACCACGTAGGCCTGTCACGATGATTACTATTGATACTCTACAGTAGGGGTGTGCAAAAATATTGAAATATTGTATCGTTTAATGTATATATATATTTTTTATATATATATATATATATACTAAATTATTTTGTTACAGAGCTACAGTTTTGTTGTTTGTTTAGAGGAGGAAAACTCATTTAAGCAGCACGTTTGACATTTTCACTGTTCTGATGATTAAAATGTTTGTGTTTCATATTCACTTGCACAAGAAGTGGTTTAACATAGACTTTTAGTATCACAGCCATGATTTATCCATTATTTTTAGTGAACAGTATCGAATCGATTTAAAATATATCGTATCGAATCGAAAGTGCACTGAATCGAGATATGTATCATATTGTGACCTATGTATCGAGGTATGTATCATTTTGGCAACTTCTTAATGATACCCTACAGCTACTCTGGTCATCAATGTTCCCTGACCAAAAGCACTGCTCTGTTAGACGCTCTGTTACTCACATTAGACTTAACCTGAGCTTTATTTTAACGCAATTTAATCAGAAAGAGCTGATTTGGTTGGAACTACAACAGGTGAGATGATTTGCACAAAACATAAGTCAGTCACTCTCACTTCTTTCTTGAAAATCAAGCACCTAAACAGGACCAAACAATAGACACTCTAAAATGGTATATTCAATTAGATCCACGTTTGAATCTGTTAACTCAAGAATACCAGCTCGAACGTCCCCCTGGCTTGAAAGTCCCAGCTCAAGCATCCCATTCTCGCGGAGCTCGGCTCACATCTCTGCGGTGCCCTCGGCCCCGGCGTCCAGGCCAGACCCGTCCGTGCTGGTTCTCGGCTCCTCCATGGTCCAGCACGTGAGAATTAAAAAAGGCCACACCTCCTGTCACCCAGGTGCTCTCGTGAAGGACATCATAGACTCCGCCCCCACCATCATACGTCATCACCCCACAGTATCAACGGTAGTTATTCATATCGGAACTAATGATCTCAAATTGCAACAGTCAGAATTACTTAAGGACAACTTCAAAATTCTCATCACCACAATCCATAGTTTAGACAAACAGTGTGTCATCTCTGGACCCTTTGTACCACCTCGTCTTGGAGATGAGAAGTTGCCGCCTGAGAGCATTACACATATGGCTCAAAAGATACTGTAGAGACAATAAAATCCCCTACGTGGACAATTTTATCACATTTTTTAAGAGACCTGAACTTTTTAAAAAGGACAGACTACACCCCAACATCCCCGGATCCCGTCTCCTCTCATGTAATATCGAACTCACACTAGCAGAAGCATGACAATATAATCAAGGACAGTTAATTCCCGTTATTATCAGCAGAGAGCGGCATCAGCATAAATCTTCTCATAAAACTACTGCCAACATCAATAATCTCAGATCCCTTCAAAAAGCATATCTACCACAAATTCCTGTAGTTTCTCAGTCCCCAATAACCTTAAACATGGCCCTTTTAAATGTCCGCTCTCTGCTGAACAAATCTTTTATTGTAAATGACTTGATTTTAGAACACAAACTTGACTGCTTCTTTTTAACAGAAACATGGCTGGGTACAGGATGCACCAGTTGTTCTCACAGAGGCCTCACCACCCACTTTTAACTTTGCTTTTTCAACCAGGAAAAAGTAAAAGGGGAGGTGGCACTGCTTCTATATGCACAAACACTTTGGCCACCGAACCTATTTTATTGAACAATTTTACAAGTTTTGAACATCACTCAATTGTTTTTAGCAACCCTCAGATTTTATGTGTCACGGTTTACAGACCACCAAAGACATGCAATAGTTTTATCAATGAGTTTTCTGAGTTTTTATCTATTTTACACAATTCTTTTAATATGATTATTATAACCGGTGATTTTAATTTGCACATAGATAATCTTTTAGATCCTGTTGCAAATGAATTTTTAAATGTTCTTAATTATGTGGATTTTACTCAACACGTCACACAGCCAACTCACAACAGAGGACACACTCTGGATCTGGTCATCACCTATGGCCTGACCACTAGTGTGTCCTCTGTTGTTGACCTGGCTGTGTCTGACCACTACTGCGTGTTTTTTAACATCACTGGTTTTATACAACGTGAGACCTCTGTGAGAACTGTGAGGAAGCGCCGTCTGACCCCTGAAGTGGCTGCAAATTTTATCGAAGTTTTAGATAAAAATCCCTCAATGGTTTTACCTGCCCCTTGCGATTTTACCACCGACTATTTTAACAGTAAACTACGGTCAGCTCTGGATCTGGTTGCTCCACTCAAAACTAAAAGCATAACCAAAATAAAACCTCCATGGAGAACTGAAGAGCTGACAAAATTCAAGAGAGAGTGCAGGAGGGCAGAACGGAGATGGAGAAAAAACAAAACTACAATAAACTACCAATTATTCAGTGATCAACAACGTACATACAACAACGCAATAAGAAACGCAAGAAACCATTACTTTTCCACAATAATCACCAATCACAAGAATAATCCTAAGGTCCTCTTCTCAACCATTAACAACATTTTAAACCCTGATTTTAGCACATTTTACTTGACACCCACTGACTCTCTCTGTGAGCAGTTTGCAGACCACTTCACGGGTAAGATAAACACTATCAGATGTGATATTTTATCTTGTCAAAGTTCTGTTTTTAGTACATCTGAGTGTTTGTCTGGACCAGAGGAAACACTGGACAGTTTTGTCCTGGTTAATGCTGAGATGCTTGACAAAGTTTTCTCCTCAGTGAGGCCCACCACATGTCTTTTAGATCCAATTCCCACTCCATTTTTTAAGTCATTTTATGGATCTTTTAGGGATGAGCTTTTAACCATGATGAACTGCTCTCTTCAGACAGGGGTCTTTCCCTCTGCCTTCAAAGCAGCGGTGGTGAGGCCCCTGCTGAAGAAGAGCAATTTAGATTTTAATGATTTTAACAACTACCGACCAGTGTCTAACTTACCATTTTTAAACAAAATTTGAGAAAAAACTTGTTTTTATCCAACAAAATAATTTCTTAGATGATCACAATATTTTGGAAAAATTTCAGTCTGGTTTTAGGGTGAATCACAGCACCGAGACCGCCCTGGCAAAAATTTTTAAATGATTTTAGATTAAATTATGATTCACAAAAGGTAACCATGTTGGTTCTACTGGATCTGAGCGCTGCCTTTGACACAGTAGACCACACTATTCTTTTAACTCGCCTAAAAGACCTCGGCCTCTCCGGTGCTGTTCACAGATGGTTCACATCCTACCTCACAGACAGAACATTTATGGTGAGTGTAGACACATGCTCCTCCAGGGTCCATAAAATCACATGTGGTGTGCCCCAGGGCTCCATTTTAGGCCCTGTGCTTTTTAACTTGTACATGCTCCCTCTTGGTGGTGTCATCAGGAGACATGGAATCAACTTCCACAGCTACGCAGATGATACGCAGCTTTACATCTCCATGTCTCCTGATGACACCAGACCAATGGATGCCCTTTTTAACTGCATTCTAGAAATTAAGTCCTGGATGGCAGAAAACTTCCTCCAGCTTAACCAGGACAAAACTGAGGTTTTAGTCATTGGTCCTGAGGCCCAGAGAGAGAAACTTTTACCCAAATTCCAAACACAGTCCTTTAACCCTTCTCCTCAAGTGAAAAACCTGGGCGTCATTTTTGACTCTGAGCTAACTTTTATCCCACACATTAAGAACATCACAAAAATTGTTTTTTATCACCTAAAAAACATAGCCAGAGTCCGCCCCATTCTCTCTCCGGCCAACACAGAGACGCTGATGCATGCTTTTATCACCAGTCGAATAGACTACTGTAATGCCCTGCTCTCCGGTCTTCCCAAAAAGAGTATTTCGGGTTTGCAATTATTACAAAATTCAGCAGCGCGTGTCCTGACGAGGACCAGAGGGCGGGACCACATTACACCGGTTTTAAAATCACTGCATTGGCTCCCTGTGTGTTTCAGGATCGATTTTAAAGTTCTTTTACTGGTCTTTAAATGTCTTAATGGTCTTGGGCCCTCTTATCTTTCAGAACTGCCTTTACCTTACGAACCCTCGCGGACCCTGCGCTCCTCCGGCAGCAGGCTCCTGGTCATTCCCAAAGTCAGGACACACACTCATGGAGAGGCGTCTTTTCAGCACTATGGCCCCCGTCTATGGAACTGCCTGCCGGAGGAGCTCAGGGCTGCAGAGAACGTTCATGTTTTTAAGAGCAGGCTCAAGACCCACCTTTTTAGCTTAGCTTTTGATTGAAATCTTATACTTTTACTTGTTTTTATTGTACACATTTTATTATATTTATTTATTTTAAGCATATTTTTAGGATTTCCAGTGTTTCCTCTGTAGGAGCCTCTGCATCGGGAGTGGAGGTCAGCTGTGGCTGCTGGGTCTGTCATGTGGGCTCCTGGCGGAGGGATGGTGCTTGGGCTTCAGGTGCCTGGGCTTCATCTCTCCCCTGGACCCTGTGGTGGTTCCTGGTGGTGGTGGACGTCTCTCTGCTCCCGGTGCAGACGGCTCCTCTGATGGTGCTTTCTCAACTGCTTCGCCTGTATTCAGCCTCACATTTTATTGTGTCCGGTTATGTATTTTAGCGTGTGAGTGTGTGTGAGTGTGTGTGTGTGTGTGTGTGTGTTTGTGTGTATGTGAGTGTGTGTGTTTGGGTTGTTTGACTATGTGGGGTTGGGGGTGCGGGGGTTGGGTTGGTGGGTGGTTGGGTGGTTGGAAATGCGGGACTGTTTTTAATCACTGTAAAGCACTTTGTGTTGCATTTTGTATGAAAAGTGCTTTATAAATAAAGTTTGATTTGATTTGATTTTGATTTGATTCTCTTGGGGGGAACATTCCCCTCATCCCTCCGGATGCCTCCTTGTCTTGGGCGGCACATGGGTAACTGCTGTGCCCAGGAGAGGGGGGACATTCTCGAC